ATTTGCTTACTAATTGCTAGTGTCCTATATATCTGTACGGGAGTCTATCTAAGAGTATAGGCTACGTTATGAAAAGTAACTGACAGCTTACACACTACTCAGTGAGACCCACAGATTTTTCAATAAACGAAAAATCCTAGATTAACCTTTCTACTCTAAGACCAAATGTTTAATGTCCCTGAAATAATTGACCTATTTATCGTTAAGATAAAGGTTCCTATCGCGACAACGTTGTCATAATCGCGAATCGATCCGTGTATTGCATTTTCGCTTCCGGCACGCGATTTAATCGTATTTAAGCAGGAAACAGATCGTAAACTCGCTTATTATTTTCCTGTCCTTTTCACTGTTTATATTTAGAAATACCAAGCCATAAAAGCAATATAACCATTTAAAACGCAACATTCACTGTAATCATTTTACTTAAACCAGAATGTTATTTTATTACGGGCTGATTTTTCAATCGTCAAATAAAAGTTATTCATATTCATTTGTGCACAATTACATCGATAATATAAAAATGAATCGCTGAATGTGTTGCTAAGCGCAAATCTCCAGAGCAGCTGAAGCGATTTCGCTAATTCTTTTTTTTATAATATTCTTTGAAGTACGAAGATGGTTCTTACGGAGAGATAAATTTAAAAAAATGCCTGAAAAAGTCTAAAAACAACACTTTTCTATATTCTCATTCACAAGATTCGTAATAATACTTAAAAGTCAATTTGAACTTTAATACCATGCCATAAAGTTTAAGTGTTAGTGGAGGGGTTCCGGGAAGGCAAAACAATTGAGTGACGTTAGTATCGTATATATATTAATGTCAATATTTTTCAATATTTATACAATGGTCTATTTATAATACTCAAATGGTACTCAAAAACAAAATTAGGGTACCGCGCAAAATAAATTGATATCAATGAATTCGTAGTAAATTCCACGCGGGCGAAGTCGCGGGGCACAGCTAGTATGTCATAAATTAATTTGTTTAAAAATATAGCCCCACTGAGTTTCTTGCTAGTTGTTCCCAGGACAGAGGTTTTTTTTGCGAACCAGTGGTAAAAGCATAAATGACTTTCAATAAAAATTCTATGTTGTATAAAAATCAATCTATTCTATTCTATAATAAGATACGACTTAAGCAAATTAAAATTAATAGTATAAAAACATTATTAAAAACAAGCTTTTATTAAATGCTCTAAAATGATTAAAGTAAACTTTAAATGAAAACAAACACATCAATTTATTACATTACACAATTTACATGCTATAAGAGCTCGTTGCGAGATTTGTCGCTTGTCCCTACAGCATTTGTTCGAGCACCAACAAATTATCCCCACCCTTTGCCGAGTTAATACTCTTTAAAAATTGGTTTGGCGGCCATCTAGTTTTCCGCCATTTTGGATTTTTTCACCTCCGCCAGAATTTGCCTATGGTATAGGTTGATATTAATCGCACTTGGTCTTAATCAAGAGATCGTGTAATAACCTAATATCTACCTACTACTTTTTTATAGGATAAGGGTGACAAGCGAGCACACAGTCATCCCGATGGCAAGTGGTTGCTGCGGCCCATAGACATCTACATCTATCCTCGTATGCGAATCAAAACGCAGATGCGTTGTCAGCCACGAGGACTAAGATGGACTGCCTCTTTTCCAGTAAAAAGGATATCCGGTTCTCTACACTCACCATACGAAACACAGCAGCATTAATCCGCTATTTTACGTTGGTACTACTGTGGTAGTGTTAACAATAAGAACTCATATAAATGCCACAACAATAAAAAAGCTGTTTAAATGGGTACATTGTGAAATAAAGACATTCAACGACAAAGAAATTGCATCACCACATAAAATTTTAATACACATAGAAAGAGCAGAAGTTTTGATAGTTCTTACTTAATAAAAAGAGAACAAATTATAGAGAAAAATTAAATGCATTTTGTGACCATAAGGGCAATAAAATTGTCATATTATGATTGCGATTGGAAAAATAATCCATTACATAATTTGTACTCTATATATCAGCATTAAGTATGTCTTTTGCAACATTATTTTACAACATTATTTAACAATATTTTTGCAACATTATTTTAACAATTATTGCAACAAACTTTTCCACTAAACACAGTTTTTAGAATATACTCGCACAATAAAAAAAATTAACTCCCTGTTCCCACCCACACAAACGATACTTACTAATAATAATAAACAAATATCCCTTGTAACAACTCCTTGCGAACACATTGCACTTACACTTTTGTAAAGCGCAAGTTCTAAATATAATTAAAAATCACATCTCATAAAATATCTTTGGATCCAAGTAAAATTATGATATTAGCGTACAAAAATACAAAAAATATACAAGAACATCGTCAAATGTATAATTATTTGAAGTTTTTTTACATGCGTATTTATACCTCTATTCACCATTAGTTAAGACACGTCCCTGTTAAGTCTTACTATTTAGCCGAGCAGTAGTACACCATCCTTTTGAAGAGCTGAATGTCAGTGAGGTTGTTTTATTCGTATTCTTCTTAGCAACCCCTTGCATTTGATACCCATATATATATGCATAGAAAATAACTAGTCCGGCATCTTGGGCGGACTGCCATGTTGGATTTAGATTTACGTCACTTAGCTAACCATGCATTGTCATCCAAACATACAAAATTTCACTCAATCGCTTGAGGGTAACTACTTTAAAATTCAGTTACAACATTTGACCCTAACAAACAAGCAAATATTGCAAGTTAAATAAGCGCTTTGAAAAATTACAGTAGTATGAATAAGCAAGTTCAATTGTATACCTACCAGTTTTATATTCAGTCAGGTTATAATTTGTGTGATGGATTAAAAGCACTGTACCCATAATATAAAAGTGAAACAACTGAACTATCTAATTTATACATCTGTAATTTTTAACTTGTTCATGTTGTATTTTTTTTAAATCACTAGGATTTTCTCCTGTATCATGGAGGCGGTTTACATACATAAATTGCACAAGGACACACATCCGGATCCGGAACAATTATTTGTTGGTCATATAAACATTCATTCCTTGCGGGATTCGGACCCACGGATCGCAGGATCATAACCAAACATTTAGTCTTTTTATCTATTAAGTCTATACATATATTAAAAATCTAAGCTAGCCTATGAATAAGTTTTAGCTGCTGTTTAATAAATCTGCCCTGAAAAACATAGATAGCTAATTAATAGTATTTTACTCTGAATCATTGAAAATATAAATAGGTGTGTTTATTATAAAAGTAAAGAAAATTTTGTCTTTTATATAATACTTACAAGTTGGTTGAGAAGTTCGAACGTACTATTCGGTTATGCAAAAAAAAAACACTCTTACCCAGTTGAACCTATTAAATATAGTTAGCATCATAACTTTTTTAGAAAACCTAAAATGTCTAATTTACGCCGATAAAACTGTTGCTCTGCCTAAAATCTTAGTTGTATTTAGTCACAATAATCGCGAGCAATAAGCAAATGATCCACGTTGTACTGGAGCTAATTTGAATGTATCTGCTTTCACAGCACGGCACTGTGGCGTCGTCTTTGTACTAGCTTATGCCTGATACGGACACTAATTAGAATTTGGTGACACGCCCGCTACGGGAAATAACTTTGTACGGTCAGCAAATAGAAATCATAAGCTACACTCAGTTAATCGTTATAATCAATAATCGATTTGTTTAATATTTTTATGTTTAGGGATGTAAACGTACATGGATTTAACGATTATTCTTCATTGAAACCGAATTAGATTAAGTTGCGCAGTAATATATATGAATAAGCAATTTACGAGTATACAAGGTTATTTTTCAAAGAGTAGCCAAATTCAAACTTAAGTAGAAATATATAAATAATGATATACTGTTGTTGCAGTTTTTTAAACTACGAGTAAATTAGGTTTCTACTTTTATTTAAAATTATCCCAAATTGAATGTGATTTATAGGCAACAATGTTTTTGCCTACCGGTCGACCCTTGCGAATGTGTGCGTGCGCAGTAAAATCAATTAAAATAATGTGTTACCACGCATTTTGAATTTAAAAGATAAAAAGGACAGAATGTTTGAGATTTTTTTATTTAATTTTCTTAACCATTTGCCTATATTACTTATTCTAAACCTTCTTTGGCCGGTTATTGCAAAATAACCCTGTATAATGATTTAAATACATTTTGTGTACTCTTCTTTTACGTACCTTTTAGTACTGATTAAAAATGGCTGCCAGTTTAAAATATGTTTAACTGTTTCGTTCAAATTAATATTATTATAAATATACAAGAGAGAAATGTTTAAATTCTTATTTATTGTGATCATTGTGATCATTTTATACAAGATTTTTTTCCTATCGGTACTGCATTAACACTACGGTAATTTTAAACCAATCCAATGCAGTTTGTATTACGACTTTACCAGTGACTAAAGGAAATGGCAAAAATTTACAATAATTTTAATTGTGAATTCTTATAAATAATGAGTCTTGGCGATTGTTCTTTGTGTTCCGATACATCACTTTCTTCGGTTAAGTTTACCGCAATAAAAAATATAACGTGAAAATCTGCGAGTAGTCTTTAATTATTTGTTTACGCTTGCTTCGCTTACCTAAAATGCCTATTTATAGGCACGTTACATGATCGACGCTAATAAAGACCTGTCATCAAATAAAATTATGCAAATGTCTCTAATATTTATTTATAAATCAAAGTACTTAAACGTTTAGAAAACTTTGCAGTACTTGATTTGCTGCGGCCCTGTGCTTTCGTGCTTATGTATTTTCGCTTTTAAAAATAAAATAAAATGTTAAAGGCTATGGTTAAGCGTGCGCTTAATATAGATAGCGAGAAAGCGCTGCTTGCGAAGACCTTGCAACGTTTAGATGTAGGCAATCACATTAATTAGATTTTCTTATGCAGATATGTGGTGTATGGCTCTAGTGTGTTATAAATATATTTTTGTACAATCGTAATTGTTATTTGTTTAGCAGAAGGAAAAGTCCCGCGCCAATCTTGCTGACGATGAAGCTTTGGAATGGCTGAAACCACGCGTGCTTATCAAGCCAGAAGATCAAGAAAACGTACCAGAAGCTGTAAGAAAAACATATAAACACACACATAATATAAATATAAAACAATTTTATACTTTAATGAACTACTTTATGTATAAAAAATATCAATACAACAAAAAGTCAAAAAATCTACTGTCGAATTTTTTAAATCACTTGCTTCACTCAATTAAGACGTGTTTATTACTTTACATCGCACTAATATGTTATGGAAAGTACATTATTAGAAAGAGGAGACACCAATGAATAAGCCTGATGTTTATTTTTAAATTCATCATTACGTACTATTATAAAAAAGTCCGATAAAAAAAATTGTGGATGTCCTTTAGTCTGTGGTTCATCAATTTTCTAAGTACAAGATATTTCGAGTACTACTTAATAAAACAGCCTAATTTTTTTTTCACTGTCTTCAGAATCACGTAGAGCTGGTTCCTTTCGATAATCACTTCTGTAATCCGTTTAAAATATTACATGAGCGTTTGGGGTGTGCAATTTAGGATTTTAAATTTTTTTTTCTGTAATTCTATCTTTGCATTATTTTTAAATACTATATTTTCTCGGTAATTATTACATGAATTTGCTCACGAAAAAAGTAATAATATATCCAATGCAGTGTTGATTGGTATTATGGGCAACGAAAACCATCGATTGAACCAAGTAGTGGTAGTAGTGGTAGTAGTAGTAGCAGTCGTAATAGGGTATGTCAGGAAGGTCCTGCTGATAAAGAAGAAGGAAGAAAAAGAAGAAGAAACAGAGGTTTTTACCCACTAAAACCTCCTCTCTCTTAAGTACCACCACGCGGTCCCGTGGTACTGGGTACTTAAAAGAGAGGAGGTTTTAGTGGGTAAAAATCCCACACTACTGGTCTTGCAACACCTTGACGGTGTCTTTTGAAGATTTCCTCCTCTCTCTCTAATACATATATATACCGCAATCGACAATTTTCCTGTCAAATATGACGGCAAATTCCGCCTACAACCTACTATATATCTTTATATATAAAAATTACGTGTCACGTTGTTTGTCCGTGATGAACTCCTAAACTACTGAACTGATTCCAAGGAAATTTTGCACACTGTGCGTATTTTGGTCCAACTTGAGAGATAGGATACTTTTTATCCCGATAAGTGATCTTCAACAAGTTTTTATTGCGAATATAAGGATTTTTTTATAGGAAGGGTCATCGGAAAGGATATATATATACAGGGTGTCCCAGTGATGGTGGGTAAGGTCGAGATACGCACTAACCATATTTAACAATAACCAAATACGAATTCCAAACACGAATTCATACAATGGAGAATCTGTCGATCCTTTTTACTCACATTAATCCTAAGCACCGTTTGTCTCGCTCACACAGCTTAGAATTCATCCAAACAAGGCGAGCATGTAGTAAAGTAAAATTTTCAAGGGCGACAAATATACTTACCTAATAAAGACATGCATTGTTAAAAAAAAACTATCTGCCAATAATTTTGTAATGGAATGCCTACTTTTACACATTAACCGCTAAAGCTCAGTAAGTAATGACATTAAGTACATGGTATGCTAATGTTTTAGAATCCTTATGATATAGGCAAACTTTTTAAATCGTTGGCCACACAGATCCCGTACGTTTTTTTTTCACCACAGGTGCTCAAACTTATCAGTTAAATAAAGTAAAAAATTTAAACTTATGTTTAGTGCCGTCTTGTAAAATACTACCCATAGTATTTGAAAATTTTTAAGGGTAATTTAGAAACATCATTATTAGGGAACACACTAAAAGAAAAAAATCCGATCTAGGCATTAAACTGCGGACATGATGATCACAAATGTGAGCAGAAGTACTAATTTTCGGAATTTTATAAAACATGGCGTAGACCGCGAACCGTTCGGGATAGAATTTTTTTTAGGGAACCGAGGCCACCTGCCTCCCGCCCTAACACTTACGTACCAGATTATCCACCATTACTGGGACAGCCTGTATATATATATATATATATATATATATATATATATATATATATATATATATATATATATATATAAGTTAGTATATATAGACTAAGTAAAACTTAATTATATTCTTCTTCATCATCAACATCAGCACATAAAATTCCACTGCTGGAATTAGCGTCCTCCGATATAGGCGGAATTTGCCGTCATATTTGAAAGTAGTAGAAGTACAGTCAAATTATCGATTGCGGTACCAGCAGTATAGCATTCACATTGCTGTTGCCTGTTGCCGATCTCGTTATTTACATCTGGCGTTTAAGAAATGTATATATATCGAACGCCATAGGATTTTTCTGGAATTCTCCGTAGTCATCTTTTACGAAACCCATAAAACGAAATGGTGTGATTGATCAAGTCAAAGCACTGTTGTCGCTATTATAAAGAAATAATAATTTCAGGAGCTTGATGAAGAAGTCGGTCGAATACTAACAACCATTAATCCACAATGGGTGCCGGACGAAGTAGCTTTTCATTATGGACAGGGTCGATTTGTAACTAAACCAAAACCTACATTCGGCAAAGCTTATCCCCTCTACGTTTATCAAGGCACAGCCATCCGCAAGGACTCAGATGAAGCTAAAGCGCAAATAGCTGCTGGTTATGGTATGTATAAATTAACGATGCATATTGATAACATTTCTTTGTTCATAAATTATTATATTACGAAGCAAAAGAAACTATGATTACTTATATCAAATGCGACATTTTTCAATGTATATAAGGGCATTGTATCTTTAATATGATTGTAGTAGAAATGGGCCGGCTCGACTGTGAAATGACTACGTTCTCACGGAATACCAGTTTGAAATAGTAACTTAAGCTGCTATATTTCTTTTGATGTATGTAGAGAACCGGAGACCCTTTTTACTGGAAACGAGGTATTACATCTCAGTTTCCAGGGATGACAACGCATCTGCATTTTGATTCTTAATCGTCGATAGACGTAGATGTCCACGAGCCACAGCGTCCAAAAAATCACAAAAAATAAATTAGCTAGATATTTGTACTACTTGTACTACTAATATTTGTACGGCTGGCAATGGGCCTCTTCTCGTTTCTGATAGGGTTTGAGGCACAAGAATTCGGTCGAACTTAGTTTACACGCTTAATGTTCATCATTCATTCATCATAGGGTACCACGACTTTTAAGTTAACCTTTATCGACTATATTTAGATTTATCTTTCCCTACGACATGTTTTTGCAAAAGCCCTTATAGCATTTTTAGAACATTGTCCAATAGGTATGGTCGGATTCGATGATGCTGGACCGAAACGGGCGAAAGTGAAAAAATCTGCCGCGGAGGAAGAAGAAGAAGAAGAACCTGAAGCTGAACCGACACCAGCTGAAGAAGCTAAAGCTGAAGGTATGACAATTTCGTAACTTATTACTTAAACCGAATTCATCGTTTGATAGTAAGCGAGCGCGAGAGAAAATTACATTTATAGTGGCATTAAGAATACTGATCACAGTGTAGTAGGTGCTTATTTACATAATATAAAAAGTAAATTACTTTAGTTGATCGCACCAAAAATGACCTAGTAAATCATTTTGTGTGTGCGTGATAAATATAAATAATAAACCTAGCAAGCTAACAGCATAGCAAAGTGGCGAAGCAATCAGCTTTGTAGCGGTTTCTAACGGTTGCCGTTGAGCAATCAGTTTCAAAATAGGAGGTTCAGATGCCTGGGTGATCAGTAATCGATTGCTGAAAACAGAATTTGAAAATTCGAATCCGTTCTCGAGATAATCGTGGGACAGATGGACAGACGGACAGACGGACAGACGGACAGACGGACAGACATCGTGAAATCAATAAGTGACTTCGCAGGCTTCGCCACTTAATAAACCTAGCAAGCTAACAGCATAGCAAAGTGGCGAAGCAATCAGCTTTGTAGCGGTTTCTAACGTTTGCCGTTGAGCAATCAGTTTCAAAATAGGAGGTTCAGATGCCTGGGTGATCAGTAATCGATTGCTGAAAACAGAATTTGAAAATTCGAAACCGTTCTCGAGATAATCGTGGCACAGACGGACAAACGGACAGACGGACAGACGGACAGACATCGGGAAATCAATAAACCTAGCAAGCTAACAACATAGCAAAGTGGCGAAGCAATCAGCTTTGTAGCGGTTTCTAACGGTTGCCGTTGAGCAATCAGTTTCAAAATAGGAGGTTCAGATGCCTGGGTGATCAGTAATCGATTGCTGAAAACAGAATTTGAAAATTCAAAACCGTTCTCGAGATAATCGTGGGACAGACGGACAGACGGACAGACATCGTGAAATCAATAAGTGACTTCGCAAGCTTCGCCATTTAGTAAGTGACTTCGCAAGCTTCGCCACTTAATAAGAGAGTAACCCCAATCTTATCCACCGATAGATTACCCTATGCAACGACTAAGAGATTGAACAGTTGAATGAAAGAAAAAAAGAAATAATATTTATTACAACAAACACCAACACACATGTTACAAAAGATATAAAGTTAACAATGGAACATGGAAATGAAGCTCTTTCATAGATAGATTCGTTGTCTGCACGTTCTTTAGGTAGATTAGCAATCTTATTCTTATATCTAATGTTAATGATGATTATCTAATATTAAATGATAGCTATAATTATAATGTATAGAATTATAATCAGATGTTACTTCTTTTTACACCTACCTCCTTTGTCTCTGCACTATTCTAAGGTACTGGTAGATAATGCCTCGGGCATTAAGTCCGCGTATATACATTACAGTGTATATGAAATTATATAAATCAATAACGATATTTTTATAACGAAAGAAGTATTGACCTTCGCAAGGTGGCTGGTATTTTTTACTAAAACCTTTTACAGAGGACGCAGTTGGCGAAGAAGAAAAATATCAAGAAAAAGAACCACCTGTAGAACCAACAGAGGCACCCTCAGTAACTGAAACGGAAGTAGCCGCAGAAGGGGCTGAGGAAGCTGAGGCTGAAGAGAGTATGACCCAGTACTTTATATATATATTATATCTTTTATTATATTATAGCGACATATAATGCGTTAAATGTCTCTTTTTAACTAAATTACAATGTAAATTATACTGAACATTCTTAATTTAAAAATTATAATTGAGCTTACATATTTATTCTTGATAATATTCGAGGTAATTGGTGGTCGTCTAAAATATGATTTTTTTTCTAAATGACTTTGAATCTTAATATACTGTCCAGATAAAATTAAGATAAAAAAGCACGCAAGTCTTGTATTTATATACATAAAATATATATTGTAGTAACATTATTTTGTGCATATTAAAATAAATAATTGATATATATCAATTTTTCACAAAATATTCAAAACACAATTTTTAGAAGAAGCAGTACCTGAAGAAGCAGGTGATGAGGAAGTGTTTCATATAAAACCACGTGTCAAGAAGTTAGCTAATCAATTCAACTTCTGTGAACGTGCTGCCCTCACATATGTCTACCCCCGCCGCGTAAGTTGTAAATTTCAGTTTTTTTTCTTTCTGAGCTTAAACATATATGAAAACCATGTTTTCTTCCGTTTACAGTCTCTATACGATCAGACCACTTAAAGTTGAGTGCTCATCAGGACACATACCTATTAATCGTTAACCAGTTCAGCAAAATATATCTACATTGGCATCCCTGATAACTTAGATGATATAAAAGAAAACTCAATTATCGAGTGTATAGGATTATAGGAACATTATAGGAACCCTTTTTTTTAATAGTATCGGATGACAAACGAGCACACAGTCCACCTGATGGTAAGTGGCTACTGTGACCCATAGACATCTACATTTATCATCAATAAAGACTCAAGATGCAGATGCGTTGCCACCCGTGAGGACTAAGATGGAATGCCTCTTTGCCAGTAATAAGGGTCTCCAGTTCTCTACACTCACCATACGAAACTTAACTTAACCAGCGTAAAATAGCAGCGTTAAGCTGCTATTTTACGCTGGTTTTCTGTGAGAGCGTAGTCCTTCCCCGTTCGAGCCGACCCATTCGTGCTACAACCATAATATAGTTGCAGCATGGCTCTACCACATAGAGCCATGATGACCATCGATCCATGGACCCTATAATGATTCTATCCATTCTAAGACTTTTATGGTCCTCCAGGTTTATGTAGATTCAATTTAAAATCTATTATTACTTTGCATTTATCACTACCACTGTTACTACAGTCCATCGAAATGCACTACTAAACAAAGGCCTCCACAATAGATTTCCACAAAGTCTAATCATGGACTGCTTGCGTGTTTAAACAGATTGTTACACCATTTAGTGGGGGTCAACACACACCGTGTTTGTTCGTATGACTGCACTCTAGAGCATTCCTTCTAAATCGTTTACCGATACTTTTAATTATATGGCCATCGCCACTTCACTTACTGATCCGCTGGGCTAAGCATATTATCACGCACAGAAATTCCGAGAATTCTTTCCGTCATACAATGTATTTGGAACACTCAAAATTGATCATTCATTAATCATTATCAGTAACATTTTTTTAAATATAAAAAAGCTGTAACTTTATTTTTTTTTACCAGTCTGTAGAAACGCAAACTGTCCCACCACCAAGAGCCAACTACGGTTCAACCGCTCTTCAATGCATTATTTTCGACTACTACCAAGAGGACTATGCCAAAAAAATGCGTGAGAAAGAGGAAGAAAAACCAAAAAGGGTACTACTCATCAGACTCAATTTGAATAGAATATTGAAATTGGATGAATGAAATTTATTTACTAGTGCACATTTTCTTTCAGCTTCGCAAGAAAACGACGAAACACGCAAAATCTGCGCAGCAAATACACGACGAACAGCTCGCACAGCGCATTCGTGAAGCCTGGGCTATACTGGAACGCCTAGTCAATCAAAATATTTACGACGACATCGGTATGTACTCGAATTTAAAAACTCTTCCTACTAATCCATAATCCATTGACATTAAGCTACTACCGCTAATAATATTAACCTTCTTTCGAATTTATCTTGTGCGCTATTTGCAACCAGCCAGAAACATACATATAATCACCATAATATACCTCATTAAGTACTTTTGGTCAGTAATAAGAACATAAGATCTCCCAAAATCTACTCAAATTCTTCCTTAGAAATTGCAGTTGCTTTGTTTTGTTAAATAGACACATAATTTGACGAAAAAAAGCGACTTCTAATTGCTAAGAAATATAAAACACATCATATTCAGATCATAATACCTTTTGTACGGAATGTAAGTATTACAAGACACAAGTAATGACTATTTTTTATAGGATAGGCTGACAAACGAGCACACAGTCCACCTGATGGTAAGTGGTTGCTGTGGCCCATAGACATCCACATTTATCCTCGTTTGCGAATCAAAATGCAGATGCGTTGTCACCCGTGAGGACTAAGATGGAATGCCTCTTTTCCAGTAAAAAGGGTCTCCGGTTCTCTACACTCACCATACGAAACACAGCAGTGTTAAGCTGCTATTTTACGCTGGTATTCTGTGAGAGCGTGGTTCTTCCCCGGTCGAGCCGACCCATTCGTGCTACAATTATACTACTAATATAGTTGCAGCATGGCTCTACCATTCCATTCCAAAATTCCATTCCATTCCATACAGGTACATTTATGTGATATGGAATATTTTAATTAAAATATCTTCATTATTATAAAATTTAATAGGTAATAAATCTTCTCTAAATAATATTAGAATGCAGTCTATCACTTTTCGTCGATAATTCATTAAAAATGAATGATGACAAATATATTATTCAAGCAGATATTTAATGCAATAAAATATTATCAACTATCTATAGGTGAAAAGCTAAGGTGAAAAGCTTATAATATCATAATTTTATTTATGGGTAATCAGCGCAGGACTACCGTTATTGGGACGACCCTTCGGATGAGTTCCGCGAGGGAATGGGTTCACTGCTGCCGCTGTGGCGGTTCCAGTTCGAACCGATGCGAAGTCACGCCGTCTGCGACCTCCAATGGAATCCGCACTACCAAGACCTGTTTGCTGTAGCTTATGGATCACGTATACATCATTTATATTATGTTGAGCTTATGAAAGTCATAAATTCAAAACACCAATAATAACATTTCTTTTGAACATGATTTAGAACCAACTAATTGATTTCCCGAAATACTTTAAAACTTAAGACATATTTAATATTTTCTTTTAATTTAAAAAGAATGTAAACGTATAATTTGTTTATAATACGTTTAAGAATCGTTTATTTACCCACTGCGTGAATACCATTAATTTCTAAATAAAAGAGCTTTGATTTATAAGGTAAACTCATAAAAGCGATATATGAAAGAAGATACATGTTTCATAGAAATATGAGGAAACTATGACAAATTAGTTTGTACATCTAAGACAGTATAGTTTGTACATAAGATTGGAATGTACATACACGTGCGTGCGTGCGTGCGTGCGTGCGTGCGTGCGTGCGTGCGTGCGTGCGTGCGTGCGTGCGTGCGTGCGTGCGTGCGTGCGTGCGTGCGTGCGTGCGTGCGTGCATGCGTGCGTGCGTGCGGGCGTGCGTGCGGGCGTGCGTGTGTGCGTGCGTGCGTGCGTGCGTGCGTGCGTGCGTGCGTGCGTGCGTGCGTGCGTGCGTGCGGGCGTGCGTGCGTACGGGCGGGCGGGCGGGCGTGCGTGCGTGCGTGCGTGCGTGCGTGCGTGCGTGCGTGCGTGCGTGCGAGCGTGCGTGCGTGCGTGCGTGCGTGCGTGCGTGCGTGCGAGCGTGCGTGCGTGCGTGCGTGCGTGCGTGCGTGCGTGCGTGCGTGCGTACGTGCGTGCGTGCGTGCGTGCGTGTGTGTGTGTGTGTTGTGTGTGTGTGTGAGAGAGAGAGAGTAGAAATTGATTGATAATTATTGAAAAGGCAGCTCTGATTTATTAGATTTATTTTTATTCACATTTTACACAGTGGACTTCACACAGCAGCAGAAGCAAGGTTGCCTGTGCTTATATAGCATCAAAAATCCAGCATACCCCGAGTACTCAGTCATAACTGAATCTCCCATTATATGTCTCGACGTATACAAAGAGACACCGTACCTCATATGTGTAGGTAAGTAAAAACTAATTTAATAAGTCTAAACTAAATGTAATTGTGGTACTATACATACTATAATTTAATTAGTAACTTTTCTCATAGCATATTTAACGAAATATCCACATTAACTATCATCTTATCGCTCATTCCTCAATAGTGTTTCCCAACGGATAGGTCTTAAGATGAACATGGACAAAACAAAGATCATGTTTAATGTCCATGTCACACCTATGCCGGTAGTTGTTGGGAACACTAAGCTCGAAGTTGTTGACGAGTATGTTTACCTGGGACAAATAGTCCGACTAGGTAAGTCCAACTTCGACCGAGAGGTCAATCGACGAATTCAACTCGGTTGGGCAGCGTTCGGGAAATTACGGCACATCTTCTCGTCAGGTATACCTCAAAACTTGAAAACGAGACTGTACACCCAGTGCGTGTTGCCAGTGATGACATACGGAACTGAGACGTGGTCCTTCACTGCTGGCCGGATGAGGAAGCTCAAGGTCGCTCAGCGAGCTATGGAGAGGGCTATGCTCGGAGTTTCTCTGCGTGATAAACTCAGAAATGAGGATATCCGCAGTAGAACTAGAGTGACCGACATAGCCCAACGGATTAGTAAGCTGAAGTGGCAATGGGCCGGCCATATAGCTCGAAGAACCGACAACCGATGGGGAAGAAAGGTTCTCGAGTGGCAGCCTCGTACCGGCAGGCGAAGTGTAGGGCGTCCCCCCACTAGATGGAGTGACGACCTGGTAAGATATGCAGGAAGTCGATGGATGCAGGTGGCTCAGGACCGTGCTTTGTGGCATTCTTTGGGGGAGGCCTATGTTCAGCAGTGGACTTGTGAAGGGCTGTAATGATGTAATGATATCGCTCATTTACTTTTTAGTTACAAATACGTTGCCGTAGTCAAATTACCAGTGAGGCCATCAAACCTATCATCATCGTATGATTAAAAATAAAAACAAAAAAAACTTTTTCTTTAGATACCGAAGTCGGCTACTTGTCATGCTTTATCCTGATTCGCGCGCAAAGATCTCGCCACTGCTCATACGAGGGGCACACTGAAATGATGGGGAATAGAATATTTCGGACTGAGTTACAATAAAAAACCTTTATTACAATTTGAATACTGGCCTCTTAGTATCTTAATGCCATTCAAACAATTAAAAAAAATGTTGGTTTAAAGTTGACATGTCGTTAACAGAAATGGAGCTCACGCGTAAACATTTCCGTGCCATAATTTATCACAATTTTCGTCGCAGCTTATCTCGCGAACTTGTTTCGATTTATGATGTTGAAGCACCGAGTTTAACGACAATATACCGCTGGTATGCCGAGTTCCGACGCGGTCGTGTGTCGCTCAGCACTGTTTCTTCTGCAGGTCGACCAAGAACAGCGGTCACGCCTGAAAACATCGCAGCTGTTCGATCTATTATATTAGATGACCGTCATGTGACATACGAGCAGATTCGGGCTGTTATCAGTATCGGAATGACTGCAATTCAGTCGATATTACATAATAAGCTGCGTGTAAGAAAGCTAGTTTCCCGCTGGGTTCCCCACAATTTGTCCGAAGAGCAAAAGGCGGCTCGTGTAGATTGGTGCCAGAATACTCTGCAACGCTTCAACGGAGGGAAGTCAAATGCCGTTTATAATATCGTCTCAGGTGACGAATCATGGATTTATTCATACGAACCTGAAAGAAAACCTCAGTCAGCAGTTTGGGTCTTCGAAGACGAGGTCAAACCAACGAAAGTGGTTCGCTCCCGCAGCGTGTCAAAGAAAATGGTCGCTACGTTTGTCTCGAAAAAGGGGCATGTTGCTACAACTCCTTTACAGGAACGCAGAACGGTTACCACGGTATATCACGGTTTGTTTGCCAGAAATGATAGCCGAACTCCGAAAAAATAACCCGAAACGTCGCATCATCTTACATCACGATAATGCGAGCTCCCATACGGCTCGGAAGACAAATGATTTTTTGAAGCAGGAAAACGTTGAGCTGTTAAGTCATCCTCCGTACAGTCCTGACCTGAGCCCAAACGATTTCTTTACATTCCCTAGAATGAAAGATTTATTACGCGGTCAACGGTTTGAAGACCCTGAAGCAGCTGTGGAAGCGTACAAATCAGCCATTTTGTCGACATCAACTTCAGACTGGAATTACTGTTTTAATTATTGGTTTGCACGAATGGAAAAGTGCATTAAGTTGAACGGAGAATACTTCGAAAAACAATAAAATACAACTTAGCTATACCGTGCATGCGGTTTTTCTTATTCCCGATCATTTCAGTGTGCCCCTCGTACCAACCTCTTAGTTCTTCTATCTTAGTATAAGCAAATTTTGTAAGCTACGTACCTGATTAGGTAGGTTTGTTAAGGTCTGTGTCCATCTTAATAAAGCAACACAAATAATGCAACTTTAGAACTTATGTAGTCTTATTTTTAATTAAATAAAACTTTATTTACATAACATTTAAAACATATATTATTTTATAGCATAGAGTGACAAACGAGCACACAGTCCACCTGATGGTAAGTGGTTGCTGTGACCCATAGACATCCACATCTATCCTCAATAAAGAATCAAAATGCAGATGCGTTGTCACCCGTGAGGACTAAGATGGAATAGCTCTTTTCCAGTAAAAGGGTCACCGGTTCTCTACACTCACCAAACGAAACACAGCAATGTTGAGCTGCCATTTTACGATGGTATTCTGTGGTACAACTATACTACTAATATAGCTGTAGCATGGCTCTACCACGTAAAAAATATACCTGCGAACCAAAAACTTGTGGTTGAAATACATGCTATCGCAAATAAAGAACTGAAGTAATTGTAATAGAGTATCAAATTATTTTTATATTTATACCTAATTTAGTGATACTGTTTTAAAATGATTATTCAATAAAAATGTCCTTAATCCTAGAAAACTTGTTAAATATTTCGTAGTTTCCTTATCTTATCCTAATACTTGTAACCATTTAAAGGTTTCTTTTCACTTACGTAATGTCATAAAATGCTCAAATAATATTGTAGAGGCCGAGCTTTGCTCAAAAATTATAATTTTCTCACGCATTACGCGTATCTAAAAAAAATTGGCAAAATTACGCCATTAGGGTTTTTTAATAAGGGGGACAAGCGAGCACACAATCCACATGATGGTAAATAGTTTCTTTGGCCCAGAGACATCTACATCTATCTTCGATTACGAATCAAAATGCAGATGCGTTGTCACCCGTGAGGACTAAGATGGAGTGCCTCGTTTTCAGTAAAAAAGGGTCTCCGGGTCTTTACACTAACCATACGAAACACAGCAGCGTTATGCTGCTATTTTACGCTGGTATTCTGTGAAAGCGTGGTTCTTGCCTTTATATAGGTTAATTTATCTACTTCTCATCGTAAATAATGTTTCGCATAAATTCTGCTCCTTCATAGGACGCTACGATGGCAACGTATGTGTGTATAACGCACAATTAACTTTGGAGTCGTCTTACCAGTACAAATCGGATTCCGTGCGGGACAAACATAGCAACATAGTGTGGGAAGTAAGTACCTAACCATTAATCTATACTGCAATTTTTTTTAATTTGAGAGACAGAGTCAAAGGTGAGTGACGTCTGGTACTGGGGTTATCAATCCTCCTGTCCAAGTTTAAAGAGTTATTAAAAAACATAGTAGTTAGTAACTAAATACAATTCTTTTTAATTTTATTGAAATGTGTCGAAATAATACTGAACTTAGTTAATAGCGCCCTCTAGTGTATTTTTCAGTATTTTATAATCCCAACGCCATCTATGAGAGCGCAGAAGAAACTTCCCTCGGTTCGTCACGTAATAATTTGTCAGAGTGTCTCATGGTGTCTCATCTATGCCCTATATAGTATATGACCTATGCTCGTCTTCAACTTGACGACGATTACGACACCCTGTAATAGGAGAGGCCCATGTATAGCGGCGGACTACTACGAGCTGATACAGAGGAATAAAATTAATCTCGTCCAGTAAGTTTTATTATCAACATTAGGATTAATAGCACTCTTGTTTTTATTTTTCATTATTACAATACATTGTAATCGAAAATAAGGTAAGTATTAAATATATAAAGAGACAGCGGCTTTTAATTGGACGTAGTTATACAAAAACGTTCCAACTCACAAGTCATTCAAAAATGAGTTAAAAATGTCAAGATGTCAAAACTAATTTTTACGGATTTTATAGCGTTTAATTAACTATTTTATATTTCCGACGTTTCGGTTGCTATCCAGCAACCATGGTCACGGGGGCTGAGGTGACTGACGTCCCAATGTCAGAGTTAACTCGGAGTACCTTCAGCTTTTTAATTATTAATTTTGGTCCGATCTACGCAGAATGAACTTATTGTGTCTTGAAGTCTTGCAGTGGTATGCTTGGGTTTAGTTTTAATTTTATGACTTATAGGATCCCAAGCAGGTGGTAGTACCCAGCCTACCTCTCTATTGAAATTAGGATGTTTTTTTAATTTCAATAGCCTCACGTATCATCCTTGGCAGGAATCGATGTTCTTTCGCGAGAATTTGTGGTTTATCAAATCTAATGTAATGGCGGGGGCCGTCAAGGATATGGTCACAAACTGCAGACTTCCCGGAACGTTGGTGCTTCACGTCAGCTATGTGTCCTTTTACGCGGGTTTTTACTGATCGTTTTATTTGCCCTATATACGAGAGACCGCACTCACAATCAAGCTTGTACACTCCTGCATCTTGTAGAGGAATATTGCACGGATGGTAAGAACTGACTAATCTTCTTCGGTGGCTTGAAGAATGTTCTAATAGAAGCTCGCTTCATTTAGTACAGATTTGATTGATAGACGTTAAAAAGTTATTCAACAAGATTATTTATGAGCCGACGAAGAGGAAAATTATAATATATTCAAGATTAATTCAATTTGAAGAAACTTTATGTCAGCCTCGATTTGCAATCGCTTGCCATAGCTTTGATTTCCTAAGGAATAAAACTATGTGACATCTAGTGTAATGCACTTCCTATAAAACTGGTCTCTGTTTAAATACAAAACCTTACCTTTGGTACTTAAAAATATATTAAATATTCATTTCTTTATCTCTCCTCACACTACTACTACAACTGCACTTATGTATGTACTATTTACTAACAATAATAAACAATTATTTGTCATAACATTTTATGGATTAAGGTTAAGGGTCTTTTGGTTTTAACAAACGATCCCACCTAAAGACACGCTCTCTAGAACATTAATGCCATTATAAAGAATTAAAGAAAGGATGTGGTTACAGACTCTGTACATACCACATCCCCAGCCTTTGTCTAATTAATTATTTCTTTTTTAGTTTTCGTTTTTATTCCGATTGCGGTTTCCTCGCTTTGACATTCGCGCAATTCGATATTTTCGCATTCAGCAAATGCAGACTAAATAATTAAATACCGTTTAAGAAACAATGAAAATATTTCCATCTTTCCTAGGAGCACACAGTCGTCTACCTTATGGTTCTTTGATGCTAAAGACACTTTCAGCTTTTGTCGATAAGGTGTCAAATTGCAAATGTGTTTGTTTTGTCTCCGGTTCCATACTCACTTTACGAAATACAGCAGTATTATGCTGCTATTTTACGCAGGCATTCTGTTAGGGCGTAGTCTGTCTCCGGTCGAGACCACAAATTATTGAGAAGTATGTCAATAGGTCAAGCCAACCCATTCGCACTGCGGCCAAATCAGTCGATCGCATGAGCCTCATATTAAATTTTTATTAATTCAAAACAGATCCGCTGGGGGGCTCGCCTTATTGACGGCGAGGCATCGTTCTTCTCGGTGTCAGGCGACGGTCGCGTGGTGCAGTGGGCGGTGATGCCGGGCGAGCTGCAAGCTACCACCATCATTGCATTGCGCTCCACCGCGGCGCCCGTACCTGGCCCAGACGGCACGCTTATCAACGTCAACAGTATGCTATGCTTAATTATTGCCTAATTAATTTGTTATACTTTTTACAAAATAAGGGTGACAAGCTGCACGCACACACTGTGGCCCATACACACTTACATCTAAATTACAACAAAATGCGTTTCTCAACCCTGAGGACTAAGATGCCTCGTTTCCAGTAAGAAGATTATCCAGTCTCAACACACCATAATTATGAAACACAACAGCATTAGGCTGCTATTTTACGTTCGTATTCTGTGAGAGCATGGTTCTTCCCCGGTCGATTCGACACATTCGTGCTACAACCACATATAATAAAAATACCTATCTAAAAGATATTAAGACTTGCATTATACTTATGTCAAGTGAGATGTAGGGCTGCCTTATGATGTTTTTCTTCAGCACTAATCACGTGGTGAATTAGCATGTAAAATTGCAATTAACAATTTAATTGATACTGGTGGGGTTCAAATTATAAAAAAATTATTTCAAATTCGCCTATTTAAGCAGATTTATAAAAAGGAAAAATTTTTAAGGTCTTAAATGAGAATTTTAATAAACTTACTTGTGTGCTTATGCCCGAATTAGAAAACTTCAATATCGACAGGATAGCACAAAAAAATTGCGTGTGTAAAATATTTTATAATGAACACATTTATAAAAATTTCTATCAACCATACACGCTCTAGTTGTTATATTTTTTAGAATGTTCTCATTTAGTTTTAAAGCCAACAAGACACCGCAGCAGAATCATACTCTAGCCTCCATAGGTAAATTGTTCGTTAGTAGTAGGTGATTATGTTTTTAGAGAATCTACCTGTAACTCTGTGGAAGTAATTAAAAATTACAAGTATGAAAACAAAGAGAAACAAGCACATATAATACTTACATGTAGATTGATTTCCGAAATAATATATCAAAGTTTTATTAATTAATTTAAAAAATTGATTATATAAGATATGTAAAGACGAGCGGCAGTTATTCTCTGCAAGCAACTTTACCGATACGAAAGTAAGGATATTGCATATTAGAAAGGTTGGTAAAGTTTTTTTTTTATAAGATAAGGGTGACAAACGTACACAGAGTCCACCTGACGGTAAGTGGTTGCTGTGGCCCAGAGACATCTAATCTATCCTCGATTACGAATTAAAGTGTAGATGCGTTGTCACCCGTGAGCATAGACATCTACATTTATCCTCGATTAGGAATTAAAATGTAGATGCGTTGTGTGAGGACTGAGATGGAATGCTTCGTTTCCAGTAAAAAGGGTCTCCGGTTCTATAGGATCACTATTTTAAGCTGGTATTTTGTGAGAGCGTGGTCCTTTCGCGGTTGAGCCGACCTATTCGTGCTACAACTATTTTTTTTTATTTTTTTTTAATAAACGTTACCCTAGGATTTTCTCCTGTGTCGTGGAGGCAGTTTACAAACATAAATTGCACAAGGACAAACATCCAGACCCGGAACAATTATTTGTAGGCCATACAAATACTTGTTCCGTGCGGGATTCGAACCCGCGGCCCCCAGCGCAACAACTGATTGCTAAGCCACTGCGCCACGGAGCCGTCAAACTATACTATACTATACTACTATTATAGCTGCAGCATGGTTCTACCACGTAAAAATAGATAGTGAGGTAATATATATATATATATATATATATATATATATATATATATATACAACAATTTCTACATTATTTATATATATATATATATATATATATATATATATATATATATATATATATATATATATTATCTTCGATATTAGAATGATAGCTCTATAAGATTACATAATTACTATCTATTTGTTTACGTGATAGAGCCATGCTGCAGCTAGCTCTAACACATAAAAAAATAGAAAGTGAGGTCTTAATAGATATGTACAACAATCCCTACATTATATAATTACTTTTTAATTAGGCTGTGGCAGTTGTATATGCTTCCATCCGGAAAAATCAGACATATTCCTCGTGGGGACGGAGGACGGCGCAATACACACGTGTTCACTGAAGTACAACCGGAGCTACGTGCGCTCGTGTCAAGCGCATCACATGCCCGTCTACCGTATCAACTACAACTACTTTAACAACACGATTTATGCATCTTGCTCCGGTGATTGGCGAGTGAAAATATGGGAGGACGGACGAGAGTGAGAGTTTTTTTTATTTTTACCGACATCATTAAGGAGGAGGTACACAATTCGACTGTATGTTCATTTTTTATGTGTGTTAGTTACCTCATAACTTGATTTCTAGGTAAACCGATTTCGATGATTCTTTTTTTAGCTGGTGCTTCTCATGTGGTCCCATAAAAGTTTGATCAAGGTCTGACCAATAGTTTTTGAGTTATCCTTAATAATTTATGTTGAAGACGGTTGTACAACATTTTTGATTATAGCACTTGTTATATAGTTGAAACTGCAACCACATATCGAGTCCTTCGTCTCCCTATCCTTTAATAGCGCCTAAACATTCCATAGCTGGACATAGATTACTCATGGTAGAGAAAATTTCTCCACGTCTGACAGACAGATTAACAACCACAATATAATCGCTATAGCGTGCGTTTTGCACCTTTGATGCTGTCTCGCATCACATGCCTAAGTACAAATACTAATAATAAATAATACGAAAGACTTTTTAGCAGACTGAAAAAAGAAAGGAAGATCTCTTTTTTTTATAGAATAAGAGTGACAAACGAGCACAAAGTCCACCTGATGGTAAGTGCATACTATGACCCATAGACATCTGGATAGAAGTATAGATTCATTCGTAAAAAATAATATAACTGCAGCAGCCGGGCTATTCACAATCGTCTCGGGAAGCGAAATCGACTCGGATTCGATAACTTCTCGCACCGAAACCAATAAACTCTATTCACATTTAACGTTCGGATAAAGGTCACTTAGATACGTCCTATAACTATTGTATCGTCATTTAGTTACATGCATTTACGAATTTTGTAGATAAATAGGCTTTTGTATTTTTTAGAGTAACGCCTGAACAAAAACATAATGCAATATTTTGGAGTTAGCCATTGATATCGAATATAAAAAATATATAATTTAACTATATAATAAATAACAAAAAAACTGAGATATGTCTCGTTTCTGTCGGGTCTGGGTTTTTTTCTATGGGGCGTGACCGTACTTCTCTGACGTTTGTTTTCGATAATTGTGACAGTTTGCATCGGAAACTTCACGAGAGCTCTGAGGCTGGCGAAAACTTTCCGAATATTGATGATTAGAAGAGATAAATAAACCCTTTTAATTATAAGGTAGGTAACAAAAATTAATTACAATTATCTATAAGACGTATTTTCATATAATTACTTCAATATTAGCACTTAATCGTAAAGCTGAATTTTTGTGAAAGGTGTGTTTTATAAATTTTCTATATATATTTGCTGCTTTGTGAAACGAGACATATCTCAGTTTTTTTGTTATTTATTATATAGTTAAATTATATATTTTTTATATTCGATATCAATGGCTAACACCAAAATATTGCATTATGTTTTTGTTCAGGCGTTACTCTAAAAAACTACAAAAGCCTATTTATCTACAAAATTCGTAAATGCATGTAACTAAATGACGATACAATAGTTATGGGATGTATCTAAGTGACCTTTATCCGAACGTTAACTGTGAATAGCGTTTATTAGTTTCGGTGCGAGAAATTATCGAATCCGAGTCGATTTCGCTTTCCGAGACGATTGTGAATAGCCCGGCAGGACTCTACCACGTAATCCATTTTATGTCGTAACATACATATTGTATGTATGTTAAAAAACATCCATATTCTCTTAACATTTTACGCGTTTTCATCGTCAATTGAGAACCGATTTTCATAATTATTTTTTTATAAAATAGGTTATACTTCTGAGGTAATCCCATGTAAATCTAGAGAAAAAATCCCAGTCGCAAAATGGAAAATTAGAATATAGAGTTTTTATTGAAACTTTTAAGCGACATCTTAGTTGTTACCTTGAGCATGTGTATTCCTTAGTATACTCAAAACTGTAAAAAAAAAAAGTTAAAAAAAATAATAATGAATAGGACTTCAGACGCCGCTACGTGAAAATTATTTTATTCTTTTTAGTTCCTTGAAGTCAGCTTTTATTATTTAATAAAATGTTTAATTTTACACAATATGTGCAACACCTCACGAAACGAGAAAACATAATTAAACCTAATTAAAAACTATAATAAAAAAAACTATAACTAGAAACTTAATTATCATAATGTAATCCTACTTGATGCCAAATAATTAAGCTTAAGTTTAATTATGTACGAAACACAGTCTAAGTAGTTGTTGTAATAGTCTAAATAAATGTAGTCTTTAATTAATATATAAATTGCTGCATCTCTTAGCTGTTCTATGTTGAAATTGGGAACAAATATGGCAATGGCAGCCCCGACGGATGTGTAATACCTGTATTTGATATTATTGCTGTGTCTATCGCTACGACAAAGAAATAGGTACACAAAGGTAAGTAGGACTAAGGAAAGTCATAATTAGTTGTTTATTATGACAGACTTCACTACAATCAACCCTTTTTAAAACACTTTTTATTTTTATCTATCGTAACTTTCTTTTAGTCGAGGGTTTTTCAAAAACTTTATTTAATCCTTTTTCGATTAATACTTTCATAGACGTCGTGGGTTTTTTCAAATTTTTTAATTTTACTTTTTATTTTAGGCTTTTTAGAAAATTCCTACGTTACTGTCTAAATATCTGTCTGTCTCTCTAACAACTCAATATTTACGAGTAGGAGAACTGAGCATGAAACAGTAACAGCTACTTCTGGAGTGGACTCTAGTTCCTCTACAGGGGAACTTTGCCGATGAGGAAGCTGTTCGGATATATCCTAACCTAATGCGTCAACGCATACACTCTGACTATGTTAACCAAATTAACAATGAGTTGAGTCTATGGAACCCAACAACTATGGACAGAAATCTCGACCTGTTGCTATTCCAGGGGAACCAAATAACGCAGGAGGCTTAGTATCACACATAAAATTGGGTGTGGGTATACGAGTGATGTAAAGAATGAAGGTCAGCGAAGGATGAGTCAATGGCAGAATGGGAGTAGTTCGCCGGTTAATTAGGTTGGGCCGTTACAGTGCATATTAAATTGCAAGGCACTCTCTTCTCGACTCAAGACTTACGTGAAAGGGAAAGCTTATGTAACTCTTAGTAGAGTACGCACTTTAGATGGTGTAGCAGTAAATATTCTAAATTAAAGTAAACTCTTCAACAATCCACATAATGGCATAGCGTTGGAAGAGTTACAGCGATTGAGAAGTACGTTGCGCGGGTCATAAATCGAAGAAGCTGAAGAAAGACCACAAAGCTGCTTGATCTAGATCTGTTGTTATGAGATTAACATATATATTACTCTAATAATCAAAATATGCTATATGACATCGATAAGCGCATCTAAATCTGTCAAACCGTCCCGTGGGAAAATTATCTACAAATCATTTTCGTATGTAAAAAATGTTTTTTAATACAGTTGCTCAAAGAGCGGCGTATTGCAGGGACGTATAGCGTTCGGGATGTGGGCCATTACATACTCGAGCTTTTTCTTTACCTTTTCCGAACCCGTGTGTTCTCTTTCCCAACTGTCAAAATAATGTCTATGTCTGCAAAAATATGATTATTATTGCAGTGTCCCCTGGTGAGTTAACACCATAACATCTATTTAAGAACCATTGCCATGAATCACAAATCCTTTACAAAAAACCGTTTCTAAATCGGTCAAACGGTTTTGGAGGTAAATGAGAAAATTCGTTTGTACAAATATGTTTATTGTAGCGCCTCCTGGTGAGCTAACATCATACCTCCTATCTCAGAACCATCGCCAATGAATGACAAAGCTTTTGGAGATAAATGGAAACATTCGTTTGCACAAATATATACACTGAAAGAAACGTGATGAAACACATTTGCGATTCTCTATTGAAACGTAATAAAACCAATGGAACTATTTTTGAAGAGATTGATCACTGGTGATTAAAAGTGGAGATCACCTACGACAAGAACGTGCGAATAAGATCATGGTCAAAGGTCTTTCATCATGATAACGCCAGATCACACACATATTTAGCTACTCAGCAAGAATTGAGAGAGATTGTTTGGGAAGTGTTAACGCATCCACCATATAGTCCTGATCTTGCACCCTAAGATTTTCACCTGTTTCTCTCTCTTCGGTATTCTTTGGGTAGTGTTAGGTTAACATCAAGAGAGAACTGTCAAAACTACCTGTCGCATTTTTTTGATCAAAAATCCCAGGATTTCTACAGCAACGGGATTATGTCACTACCTACAAGATGGCAACAAAATGTAATTAAACCTTGACAAAAATATCTTAAAATTGGATATAAAATACGAAGAAACTTTTTCGCCGACCTTAAGTTTTTGTAACATACGTAATATGTATCCCGTTTGCATTTTAAAATATGTTTAGGTTTTCATGAAACCTTAGGGCGAAGATTTAGTATATTAAAATTAATGATTTTGAAAATAAACAAAAGAATGTTTATTTTTTCAACACTTAACAATTCATAGTCTGTCCCAAGTACGTTCACGCTTTCCTGATCTCAATTTACTTTGGAGATATAAAAAGTATAGTTAGTAATTACCTTTGTGTCGTGTTTAAAAGCGTTGCTGAGAAAAAATATTATTACCGCTCAGTAAAATTTAAAACACCAAGCCTTGGTAATACTTTGTGCAATATTTAAAAATGAAGAAAAACAGGTTGTCGTTACTATTACAATAAGTAGCAAAGCTGGTTATAAAATTTTGTAAAAAATGTGCCTACATAATGATAGTCAAATGCCCTACAATACGAGGTGAGGCGAACCTAATGAAACAAACAGTGAGTTGATTCAAGCAGATGGCTTCTGACTATGTGCGATAGGCGTGGGTAATGTTGATGGAAAGGGCGTGGGTGAGTCGATCTGATATTGATATGATAAAAGATGTCCCTAGTGACTGACTCATCTATCAACGCTGAGCCGAACCGCTAGACGTAGTCTGACATTTGGACAGTAACGGCCTTTGATGATGACGTAGGAAGGGGGTGAAATAGGATATTCAGTTTGTTTGAAACTTTTTATTTTAGGAGGCGATTGATTCGAAACTTACTGAAAGTACGGGGAGGTCAGAGGGTAGTTTAAATATGTATTGAGGGAAAATAAGTAACGTTCTTTTTATTTGAAAACTGGTCCAAATGTTAGAGCAAGTAATAAGCAAACTATTTCCAAATACTCTTGAACAAAAATAATAAAATATATATTTATTATTATTGATCAAATGAACTTGAATGAATGAGATTGCCATAAACAACTTTCAAAATAAGTTAAGTGTTTAACCCTTGGTATTTATTTACACCATAATATATTTTCTTTACAATACATCATGCTCATGTTATTTTTAAGAGTCCTTAAGAAACGCGCAAATTGGCAGTTATAATTTTAAAATAATAAAGAACTGACTTCATTGAAAGACACCATAAAATAAATCTCAATCATTTAATAGATGAGTCTTCACTTTCACAGCGTGATATTTATAAAAAAAAAATTTTGATTTATTCGTGAAAAAAAATCGTCAACAATGGTAAAATCACTAAAAACGGCCTTTTCTATTTTAAGTCTCTAGGCTATTTCGTTATTATTTTAGAAAATATTTTTGATTAAAACGTAAGATTAAAGTATAGATAATATTATATTTACCATTCATTTTTTTGCTAATTCAAAGAAAAAAAGCAATAATCTAAGCCTAAATATCATTCATTTTTTAGCAGAAATCGTTCCCCGTTTTCCATATATTTTAGTATGAAGCGGTTAGCTTTCCTTAATCATCGCCTCAATTTTCGAGGTGACTGCATATCCGTTCTTAGCCCGATTTGACAAGTCTAGTCGATACATCATCTATTGTTTGACATAGCATAAGATTAAAAGGCGGCAGATTGAAACCAGGAGATGAGTAACGGTGTCCTCCTGGAAACTTTGTTATCCGTTGGATAGGCTTTGACTTTGATATATCGTAATGAATGTATATTTGATCTCAACATAATTTAGAAACTGATAGAACTCGTCAAAACATCGTCATCTACATAGCGGAACTAAGAATGTTTCTCGTTAAGTGACTTCGTAAAATGATTTTTTGTAAGATAATTTATAATATAAAATAAAATATGAATATATTAAATATTTTTAGGTATTCAAGAAAGGATATGGAATTTTGCCAACTGCCAGCACATTATCAAAAATATTTTCATTATTATTTCTATTATTTTTAAAATTGAAAGTTTCTGAGAATAACTGTACCTAGAAAAAGTTATTGAAAATATATCTATGATACTTCGCTTTTAGCACTAATATATAAGAGTAATGTCTGGAATTTTATGAAAAGTTGACACCTGACTCTATACATTGTTTATTAATTATTTAATATTCCCATTTATACACAACATAATCGTTATATTTTAATAATTTTATTCAATTTACATAGTTTATAGTGAAAATTTGATTTTTAAAACAAAGGAAGTAACAGAGTATATTTAACTTTAATTACTGTTCCTACTTACGAAGAAGTATTGTTATTTTGCATGTTGAACATTAGAGTAAAGACTTAATTAATGTTCATAACAAAGAATGTTTCTAAAAGTAATTGAATTGTTGTTTATCTATGAATAAATATGTGATGGTAACAGAGTTGTAATTTTTATTACCCTGCACTAGTAAATTACTTGAAAATCTGAAAATAGTGGCAAGACATCGCGCCCAACCACGATATTGCATTTAACAATGATATCTATATGTATAGCATAAATAACCTATACAAGTAAGTTAAACAGAATTTTATTTTCTTTTGTTTTTTAAAATTTACAGTCACATTTTCTGCCACCGATTTTATACTGCCCCAGGGCCACCCTTGAAGTATAACCTATTTAATAAAAAAAAGAATGATTAAAATTGATTCTCAATCTGCGAAGATATATGGAATTCCTTATACATAGTCCTATTATATGAAACTTTTTCCCCTATTTTCCACTTTTAGGGACGGAATTTGTTCATCAAAATTTTATGGGACTAGCCTTGAGGTAAAGCCTATTTAATAAAAAAAGAATCATTAAAATCGGTTCACTATCTGCGAAGATATCGCGTAACATACATACAATTAAAAAAAACATATTCTCGAATTGAGAACCTCCTCCTTTTTGAAGTTGTTTAAAAAATCCTAGGATTTATCATAAATACGTTTTGTTTCATGGTAATAAAAAAGCATTAATTCCGATTACACTTAAATTTGTTTTTATTTTTTTAATAACTAATTATAATATTCTTCAGCGAACCACTTTTCATGTTCGAGCTGGGCTCACCAGTGGGCGACGTAAAATGGGCACCGTACTCCAGCACTGTATTTGCTGCCTGTACTGCAGATGGAAAGGTAAATTGAGAAAAAATATTAAAAACAGCGATCTGCCCCGGCTTCGCACGGTTGATTTTTGGATCTCGACAACAGCGACACCTTACGGGTCCAGTTGTGAATTCAAACCATCAAAAGCACACAAAAAATTTCATCAAATTCGATGGACCCGTTTTCAAGTTTTAACGAGACTAACGGACAGATTTTCACATGATATGAATTCATGTGAATACCCGACTGGCCCGGAAGGTGTCTATGTGTTTTGGGCGTTTCTATATTTATGTAACAAGGCTGTGTTACAATTTCAATGTGTAACATGACTACGACAATTTCTATAAGATGACTGTGTGTAACATGACTAGTACCAATTTCAATGTATTGTAACATGACTGAGTAACAATTTCAATGTGTAACATGACTGTGTGACAATTTCAATGTTCAACGTGAGTTTGTGACAATATTAACAAGACTATGTGACAATTTTAAATTGTAACATGGTGTTTGTTTATTGAATACGTAAAATGATTGTATGAAATTTTTTATGTGTAACAATTTCAATTATATTGTGATTGCGTAAACATAGCCAATCTATCATGACAGTAAAATGACACAAGGGCATTACAATATTACAATGTAACTTTCCTAATGGATAATAAGTAAAAATTATTTATTTTTACAGGTGTATGTTTACGATCTCAACGTTAATAAATATCGGCCCATATGTGTGCAAGCTGTAGTGTCTAAGAAAACAAAAAAACTGACGAGAATTGATTTTAATAGAAAATTACCAGTCATTGTCTGCGGCGACACAAAGTATGTATTTTACAAATTGAATATTTTCGTTAAAGAAAGATACATAGATTATATCGTAAAGTATATGTATTTTAAAGAGGATATTTCTTATATATAGAGTTATGTACTCGTATTAGGGACCAGGAAAAAATCGGACTCGTTTTTTTCATATAGATTAAGAGTGACAAACAAGAACACAGACCACGTGAAAAGGTTCTCCGGTTTTCTACACACACCATATGAAACACAGCAGCATTAAGGTGCTATATATACCGCCGTCCATGAACAACCGCAACACCATGGGAATTGCAGATGCGTTGCCGGCCTTTTAAAAAGGAGTAGGCTCTTTTCTTGAAGGTCCCTAAGTCGTATCTGTCCGGAAAAATCGCTGGTGGTAAACTATTCCACAAGGAAGTTGTGCGAGGAAGAAAACATCTTCTAAATCGCACAGTGGTGGACTGCCAATCATTCAGATGGTGTGGATGGTATCGGAAGTTCTGCCGCTATGTGCGTTCGTGAAATTTGGCGGCTGGGATTAATCCGAACAATTCCTCAGAGCACTAATAATCCCCGTGGTAAATGCGAAAGAAAATGCAAAGAGATGCAACATCTCTTCGCAGCGCCAATGAGTCGAGCCGATCGGAAAGGACTCGGTCGTCGACGATTCGAGCCGCTCTGCGCTGGATGCGGTCAAGTGGAAGGAGCTGGCACTGGGGAGCCCCAGCCCAGAGATGGGAACAGTATTCCATGTGAGGCCGAACCTGCGCCTTATAAAGATGCAGGCGTTGTGCTGGCATGAAATACTGTCCCGCTCTGCTGAGCACGCCACGCTTTTTAGACGCCACTTTGGCCTTCTCTTCCAAGTGACCACGAAACTGCACGTCACTCGATATGTCGACGCCGAGGTTCCGATACTGACTGCGGCAACAAGGGGAGTACCTTGAAACTGAGGAGATACGACAAAGGGCTTCTTTTTAGCGGTAAACGCGCAAACTTGTGTCTTCTGAGGATTAAACTGGACTAGATTTAGTCGCCCCCAATCCGAGACTTTGTCCAGCAAAGACTCGACTTCAGACACAAGTTTGTTCCGGTACTCGGCGACGTTTTCCCGAGAAATATTGGCACGGCCGGTGTATAGAGCATCACCAGTGCTGTCATCTGCATAGCAATGAATGCTACCGGTTTGCAACATATCATTGATATGCAGAAGAAACAGCGTTGGTGATAGCACGCAACCTTGAGAGAGAGAGAGCGTGGTTCTTCCCCAAACGGGCCATTCGTACTACAAGCCTATTACAGCTGTAGCTTGACGCCGAAACCATGCTCAACCTATTGTAAAAACACACATAGGACATAATATGCACCTAAAATCATTTGTAACCAACAACAGTGCATATTGTACGTGTGTGGTATTACAATAAGCTACACTGGTACATCTCAAGTGCGTGACAATTACAGTGACAGATACGTAATGATCTGTCTTTTTTGGTCTGTAGCGTGATATGAAATTTTAGCCAAGCGCCCCTCTTCGAAGTCCGACCAATCTCATCTGTCGTCATGTATACGTGGTAGAGCCATGCTGCAGCTATATTAATAGTATAGTTGTAGCGCGAATGGGTCGGCTCGACCGGGGAAGGACCACGTTCTCACAGAATACCAGCGTAAAATAGCAGCTTAACGCTGCTGTGTTTCGTATGGTGAGTGTAGAGAACCGGAGACCCTTTTTACTGGAAACGAGGCATTCCATCTTAGTCCTCACGGGTGACAACGCATCTGCATTTTGACTCTCAATCAAAGATAGATGTAGATGTCTATGGGCCACAGCGACCACTTACCATCAGGTGGACTGTGTGCTCGTTTGTCACCCTTATCCTATAAAAAAAAAATACTCGAAATATTTTTGATTTCTTAAACATGCAAGTTTCCTCACGTTGAATCTACTTTTTCGCCAAGCTTATGGTTAATTAGATAGTACTTAGATCTCGAATTATTCTATAATTTGGGATTTAAAAAAACAGTTAACAATTATTACAGTGGTGGCCCACAAGTGGGCATCGGAACTAATCGTTAACTCGCTATACAGAATACATTTTGTATTTATTTATTTGTAGCCCTTATGCCCCTGAGCTACCCGTGGCTCGAAATATTGACATTGGTAGTGTTAAATCACACAATGACCAAATTTTATTCGTTAATTATGGTATGCATTAGCATGACCAAAATAATGTAAATATACTATGCATGTTTATCACGTGAAAAGTAGAAAAAAAATCTAAACGTAGGTATCTGTAAATTCAAAAGCCTGTACACAAGTTATTTTACCTATAAAATTTGGAGGTATCTGTTGCAACGAATCTTACTAATGCAACATAGCAAGCCTTCCTTGCTTCGCATAGGTGTATAATGTTAGTTCTTTATGTAACAACATTATAAATAATAAAGTAGGCCGATGCTCTGCTGCGGAGGCAAGGCGGATATGACAAACGTGAAGTTAACCAACAGAAACAGTGGGATATTCCGTTGTAGAAGGTTTTGTTTCATAATTTCCATAGGAAACAAGATCAGGCCCGGTTTATAGCTATTAAGGTTAAGGTATCTAGCCACTAGTCACACGATTTACCATCAAGTAACCTTGGTAATAACTTGATGGGCATAAAGAAGGACTAGAAACAGCGATCTGTCAACCTCACCAGTGCTCTTGTAGCTTGGAATAGCGCAGTTAACGAGCTTGGGCTTCACGGACTTTCATGTAAGAAAATTACTGGTAGATTGTCCTATCACGGTTCTCTGAATAACGTTATCAAATGCCGGCAGGCTCTTATCTCTACAGGTAAATGTCCCTGGTTTGAGAGCCTTGTGTGTGAGACGATGGCAGGAGACTCAACTGTATGATTTTGGTCACCTAACAGGCAAGGTCTAAGTACGGGAACTACATGAGTAGACACTTCGAAGACCTATTATCTTAGGGGTACGGCTGCATTTGAGGCGGCTGAGCTGAGTAAATTGTGCAAATATTTGTGTTGGAAAGATGACTGTATATTTGTGTCATTTGCTGCAGTAACTAGCTAGTTTTGCCCATGTGCGATGAAGTTCCTAAATGAACTGTACAGGGGTGTCACTTCCACTATGGAAGGTATGGAGCACTCCATACCTCAAGTTTTTCAAGGTATGGAATTCCATAGCTGAAATTAGGAAATAAATCGCATATTACTACAAACCCCATATAAATAAATCGCAAGCCCTTAAACCTCAATACCCCACATCTTATAGTTCAATAAATAAGTTGAGTATATACACTGCAAACTCTTAAACCTTAATACCCCACGAGTAATGCGAACAAATTTGAAAATCGCGCCACCATTTTCCATACCTCAGATTTTTACAAAGTGACACGCCTGGAACTGTATCCACGACTTGCCGTCGCCGCTAGTGACAAGAGAGCTGGTTCTTTTCTCGCTCAAAGGCTAATTATTCAGCAAGGAAACGTATTCACCGTTCTTGATACTTTACCGCGAGAAGTACGACTTAATGATAATTTTAGTATTCATTTTTGTTTATTATTTTATTAAATATTGTAAAATATTATAATTAATTATAAGCAATATAATAGGATATAGAATTTAATAATAAATTTCAGGAGACTATAACAAGCCTCCATAGCTCAGGGGTTAGAGCACTGGTCTTGTAAACCAGGGGTCGAGAGTTCAAATCTCTCTGGGGGCAACCATAATATACTTTTTACATTTTGTTTATAATACATTTTTTATTTTCTAGGGGTACTTGTCATGTATTAAAATTATCGCCTAATTTACGGGTGATGTGTAAACCACCCAAAAAAGCCCAAGGAATTGATCAAAGGACTTTACAGGTAATATATTTATTTCACTTTTCATTGTAAATAATTTAAAAAAAAACTTTGATCAATAAATGAAATACCTACTATTATTGATCGAAGCTTGCAATATTATAATTTTTTAATAAATTACTTACCTGCAGTAAAATTTAATAATTTTTAAATTAATCTGCCATCAATAATATCTAAATTAAAACATGTAATATTATATTTATGTTTACACCAGTTAATAGATAGCGGCACAGTTTTAAGAATACCTGTTTCTCGAATAATCTCTTTTATTACAATACACAGCCTATACCTTATTTCTAAAAACTATTATTTATTCTGTGACTTTAGCTGTACATGATATAATGATTTTAACAACTTTCAAGAGATGGCGCTGATAAGCTTCTGTTCAATTTTCTCTCAATAGAGGGCAGTTTTCCAATCTATGCACTTCGTGTTTCTTAGAGAAACGAAGCCCAATTAGTATTCTTATTGCCATTTTTTTTACCTATATTTACCTTTTTTTTTTACAGATTATGAAATTAGACAAACTTTTAAGTCTAGTTCGGGATCCGCCTTTTACACCTGGAGTTGTTGATGAAAAGTTCGAAGAAGACTAGTAGTAGTTGTTACATTATATTAGTAAAAATATTTCGAATAAATTAAATATCTTTTGGACATAATTTATTTAGGTAGGCACTAGTGTTTAAAAATATTAAATAATACTAATAATATTAATTAATAAAATAACGAATACTACTAAATAGATTTTTATTTTCCACTAATAAACCTACGACAAAAAACTTAGACCATTTATTGGTTGGTTGGTCTAAGCAAAAAAAGCGATGATATTGATACAACATTCTATATTTTGATAATGATATTTATTATTTTGTTAACTGTTCCAATCTTCTTCTTAATAACTGGCTTTACGGCTCTGGGATCTAGCCCTTCTGAGCCTGAAGTTACAATATATTATAATAATTATCCTTCATAGTATACTGCTTTACAATATGTTGATGCGGCATATTGTGCAGCCCTTGGGAGATTTTGACGGCAACTTGAGTCAGCAGACAACTGACGGTTGGCGATGGTATCTCAAGGTGCCTAAGCAGACAGACACTTTATTTTGAGAATCACATCACCATCAGAGCACTTGTTTCACAGTTTCCACTAATAGTTCACATGCGCAGACACTTAATACACAAAATCGCACCACTTTTACATATCAAAGTCCACTTCAAACCATTATTTAAACAATAATACAGGAGCAGCAAACCGCCGCCGGTCAAGTTCCCGCCAAAACTCCTAACTGTTCCAAAGTTTCATATTTCCAGAGTATTTTTTAAAGGTTATATTATATTTCTACTTGTGTCAGAAGGGGGTAGTCAAGGCGGACAAATATTTTGGAACATCCAAAGTGATCATTATAATATTCAACCATACATTCATCATCATCATTACAGCCCTTCACAAGTCCACTGCTGAACATAGGCCTCCCCCAAAGAATGCCACAAAGCACGGTCCTGAGCCACCTGCATCCATCGACTTCCTGCATGTCTTACCAGGTCGTCACTCCATCTCGTGGGGGGACGCCCTACACTTCGCCTACCGGTACGAGGCTGCCACTCCAGAACCTTTCTTCCCCATCGGTTGTCGGTTCTTCGAGCTATATGGCCGGCCCACTGCCACTTCAGCTTACTAATCCGTTGGGCTATGTCGGTTACTCTGGTTCTACTGCGGATATCCTCATTCCTAAGTTTATCACGCAGAGAAACTCCGAGCATAGCCCTCTCCATAGCTCGCTGAGCGACCTTGAGCTTCCTCATACGGCCAGCAGTGAAGGACCATGTCTCAGTTCCATAAGTCATCACTGGCAACACGCACTGGTTGTACAATTTCGTTTTCAGGTTTTGAGGTATGTCTGACGAGAAGATCTTTAGTAGCTTCCCGAACGCTGCCCAGCCGAGTTGAATCCGTCGATTGACCTCTCGGTCGAAGTTGGACTTACCTAGTCGGACTATTTGTCCCAGGTAAACATACTCGTCAACAACTTCGAGCTTAGTGCTCCCAACAACTACCGGCATAGGTGTGACATGGACATTGAACATGATCTTTGTTTTATCCATGTTCATCTTAAGACCTATCCGTTGGGAAACACTATCGAGGTCATTGAGCATAGTGCTTAGGTCCTCCAGCGATTCTGCCATAAGGACTATATCGTCGGCAAATCGAAGGTGAGTGATGTACTCGCCATTGATGTTTATACCGTATCCTTTCCAGTCCAGAAGCTTGAAAACGTCTTCCAATGCAGCGGTGAAGAGTTTCGGGGATATGACGTCACCCTGTCTTACACCTCTCTGCAATTGGATAGGTTTCGTACTCTGGTTCTGTACTCGGATAGCCATCGTAGCCCTACTGTACAAGCACTTCAACACTTCGATATACCGACAGTCAACTTGGCACCGCTGAAGGGACTGCAGCACCGCCCAAATTTCGACGGAATCAAAGGCTTTCTCATAGTCCACATACGCCAGACATAGTGGCAAATTGTACTCTTCGGACTTCTGTACAATTTGCCGAAGGGTATGTATGTGGTCTATGGTGCAAAAGCCCTTTCGAAAACTGGCTTGTTCGGGAGGCTGGAAGTCGTCAAGTCTGCGCGCGAGACGATTCGTAATGACTCTCGAAAACAGCACGTAGACGCGGCTCAGAAGGGAAATCGGTCTGTAGTTCTTCAAGAGAGCGTTGTCACCTTTCTTGAAGAACAAGACCACCGCACTTCTGCTCCACGCCTCCGGTGTAATGCCACCATGGAGGACGGAATTAAAGAGCTTCTGAAGGACTTCAAGTACCGGTCTTCCACCCGCTTTCAGAAGCTCCGCTGTAATTCCATCCTCGCCTGGGGCCTTACCGTTTTTAAGGTGCTGGAGAGCCATTCTAATCTCGCTCAGACTGACGTCCGGGATATCTTCGGAATAGTGTCGGATGAGACTCGCTCTTGGATCGTTACTCACACTTGCGTGTGGCTCCAACGATGACGTGTACAGCTGCCCATAGAACCTCTCAATCTCACTCAAAATCTCAGGTGTCCCGGAAACGATGCTGCCACATCCTGTCTTCAGCTTTGACAGGTGGCTCTTTCTGGCAGACAGATCTCTGGCAAAGACTTTGGAGCCTTGGTTCCGCTCGATCGCTTCTTCAATACGAGCTGTATTGAAGTTGCGTAAGTCCCGCCGCATGCATTTGGAGATCTGTCTGTTCAGATGCCTGTATGCTGTCAAGTCTGTTGAAGAATGTAGCTTCATCTCCCGTCTAACAGCCATGAGATTAAGAGTGTGATCGGAGAGTTTTTGTGTTCTTCTGCGGCGGGTCTTGCAGAACTTAGCTCCGACCGCATGGACAGTTTCCACGAGCTTGTCATTCATATCGTCCACTTCATCGCAGTCTTCTAGGCACTGAAAACGGTTTTGTAACTCGAGCTGAAAGGTTTCGGGACTTTGGCACAGAGCACGAGGGGGACGGAGCGTTGACTTCATTAGACGAGACCTCTCCAACTTAACGTTTAGGTTCAGTGTGCCTCTAACCATTCGGTGATCGCTACCAGTTTTCACCCTCGCGATCACGGAGACATCACTGAACAGTTGTCGTCTGGTCGTCATAATGAAGTCAATCTCATTTTTTGTCGAACCGTCGGGGCTCGACCAGGTCCACTTCCTGTGGGGCCGCTTCTGGAAGAAAGAGTTCATCATAAAGAGTCCCTCTTTCTCCATGAAGTCGGCCAGCTGCTGGCCCCTTGGGTTCCGTTGCCCTATTCCAAATTTCCCTACTTTCAGCTCACCGTTCTCTCTTGTGCCTAGTTTTGCATTGAAGTCTCCCATTAACACCGTATATTGGGTTTTGGAGGAATGCATGGCTCTAGAGATATCCTCATACATTTCCTCCACCTCCCCATCGGGGTGTGCCGAGGTTGGTGCGTAAACCTGTATGACCTTCAGCGAATACCGTTTGGTGATTCTGAGTATAAGGTACGCAACCCTCGTCGACACACTCCCGATCTTTACAACGTTGTTAACGAGAGACTTGTGGACGATAAATCCGACACCTCCTTGGGACAGATGGTCGCCCTCCCGGTGATAGAGCAAGTTGCCGGATTCGAGGATTACCGTGTCCTCCCCCTCTCTTCGGACTTCGGATAATCCTATAATATGCCAGCGCAACTTGTCTATCTCTTCTTCCAGCTCCACGATCTTCTCGTCAGTCCTCAGGGTGCGTGCGTTGTACGTTGCCAGGTCGAGTCGTCTAAGGTGGCAACCGAACCTCCACCGGAGATTCTTAGCACCCCCTGCCCCGCCGTTACCATGGTCGCCACCGTAGCCAGGAATAGCGGGGCCGCCGGGGACTGGGGGCCGTCTCTTTGTTACATTCATAGGGGGGTATTTGCCATAGTTGCCACGCTTGGCGAGCGGGTTGGCAACCGCAGTTTTTTTTATTGTAATATTGGCTATTATCAGGAAGATGCTGCTGCCCATCTCCTGCCTGTTTCCCTTTGTCGCCTTTTACGACACCCACGGGAGGATATGGGGTAGTGGTATTCTTGACCGCCACTACACAGCTTATTCAACCATACAAAGTAGCAAAATTAATAAGACCTCAGAGCAAAGAGTATTGTAAATTTTTCTGTGTTCTCAAAACACAGAAAACCTATTAGGGTGATTGATTGGTCTTAACCACAGAACACTGTTCTGTGATTAAGACTAATGTTAGTCAAATATATCAGAACGTAGATTACAATGAAATACAGTACAAACCTTGATATAACAAACCTGAAGGGGATTAGAAAATATTCGTTATACCAAGTAATTTGTTATATAGAGATTAGATTGGTCTAAGATTCGTTTTAGATAGGTAAGCAAACTTAAAGAAAATTAAAACACATTGTAAAGAATGCCTTACAACATTAAACATTAATTTATTATGGCAATTTGTATATCAAAATTTGAACCTGTCGAGACATGAATTCTTGTTAAATAAATTGGTAGAAATTAGAATATTTTATGGATGCCATACACGAACCAGTTTACAGTCAAGTTTGCAGCAAGCTTGAAGCGGCGTCAAGTTTGCATAGACCACTCATGTTCAAGTTCGCCGTCAAGTTTGCATGATGAAACCATGGCATCTCTCGCTTATTGCTCCGACTAACGTCATGCAAACTTGACCGCTCATACACATGTTCAAGTTTACATGACGCTGCAAGCTTGATCAAGTCGGCAGAATCGAAATTAAATTTTTGCTTCAAGTAGACTTGTCATGCACACTGATAGCCATACACCGTCAAGTTTACCGGACGCCGCTTCAAGCGGGCTGCAAACTTGACGGTAAACTGGATCGTGTATGGCATCCATTATGCAGAGCAATGGCGCAACAATAGGGTGGCAGGCCGGGTAAAATATTAGGTACTGGCCCCCCGCCCAAGTTATTACATTTAGTACTTTTATCATTAATTAGCTGTTCCCCGCGACTTCGCCCGCCTGTTATTTGGGGTTTTATTTTTTTTGCGCGGATTCGTTTTCGAATTCTTTTTCTAAGATAAAAGTAGCCTAAGCTACACCTTGTGATA